ACCCTTAATTAAAGCGGCCCGCAACAAATTGAGGGCAGAGTGTCCTAGGCCTGTGGTGCCTAACAAAGTTTGTGACACTCCAGAGGTAGACCCCAAGATGACCCAGTTCCTCACTAAAATGGACTGGAATCCCCGTAAAGGACTGGAGTCGGCATTGAAATCCTGCCAGGACAAACACCTGGACATATTCGGCCCCTTGGCCAAATTATTTGACTTGGAAGACGCCAGAGCGGAGAACCGCATGGTAGACCCCAAAGACCTTAGAGGTTGGGTCCCATGTGCAATATGCATTGCTGGGAGTGTAAATACCTCCCTGTCTATAGAAAGGCGTAAGGCCATATTATTCAAAATTGAGCCCAAAATGGCCAACCTCGCCCTTACAGAAGCGGGTAAAGACGCCCAAGGACTTCCCTTCGGAGATTGCTTCATAAAAGATTTAGGGCGCTTCGTTGGAGCATTCACGGCTCTAGACAAAGCCCAAGCCTCCATGAGGCGAGTATTCCAGGGGCGGGTCTCTACCAGGGCCGGCAGATTCAGGAGCCGTCTGTCCGGCCGCAGTTACCCCCAATCCCGTGGCACGGGAAGAGGCTCCTTCCAGCACCGTAACCAGTACCAGGATTCCACCTCCCGCCCCACATTTTTTCCATCCCGCTCATGTCCATGGCGATCCAGAGGCTTTCGGGGTAACCCAAGCTCAAGACGACCATACGGTGAGTTACCTCATACCACACTTTTCTTCTCTGGGTTACGTAGGGGGCAGACTCCAACATTTTTTCCCAGCCTGGTCACAAATCACTTCAGACCCCTGGGTACTGACCACTATTCGGGGTTTCAGTATAGAACTCACCAATCATCTCATACACATTCCCTCTCCTCGACCGATCTGCTTTTCCCTCCAGGATCGCAGACGGATCGACGAGGAACTCTCAACCCTCCTTATCAAAGGGGCTATAGAACAAGCACCATCAACCCCGCAGGTGTCATAAGCAATATCTTCCTGGTGGAAAAGAAGGGCGGCCAATTGAGACCCGTCATAAATTTGCGCCCCCTCAATGCCATAGTCAGGTACCGCCATTTCAAGATGGAAGGTATTCACCTACTAAGAGATCTCCTCCTCCACGGAGACTGGCTAGCCAAGCTAGACCTAAAAGACGCGTACCTGACAGAGCCGATAGCGGCGGCATCTCGAGACCTCCTACGCTTTTACTGGCGGCACAAGACATGGCGGTTCACCTGCCTACCCTTTGGCCTCTCCTCAGCACCGTGGTGCTTCACGAAGCTATTACGGCCTGTGATGGCCTGGCTACGCAGTCGAGCAGTTCGACTAATCGTCTACCTAGACGATATTCTCCTAATGGCTCAGGAGCGTTCCACCCTCCTCACACATCTACGGCTGGCCATAAACCTCCTTTCACGCTTAGGTTTCATAATCAACTGGGAGAAGTCATGCCTGACCCCCGCCACTCGCATGGAATTCTTAGGATTCCTGGTGGATTCGGGGGCAGCAACGCTGAGCCTCCCGATATCCAAAATTCGATCCATCCGCAAAGAGTTACGCAGGGCCCTCATCCGGCCCCAACTCACCTTACGCCAACTTGCACGACTCATAGGCCTGCTGGCCTCCTCGATACAGGCCGTGTTCCCAGGTCCACTCCACTACTGAGCACTACAGCGCCTAAAGATCGCTCACCTAAGATCCGGGGCAACCTACGCGGATCTGGTATCATTGGACAGCGAGACGAAAGACGAGTTGCGATGGTGGATTCTCAACCTGTCCGCATGGAATGGCAAAGCCATCTTCGGCTCAATGCCAGAATTCACGATCGACTCAGATGCGAGTCTCCACGGCTGGGGAGCCCACGGCGGGGGAGTCTCAACAGGGGGCCATTGGTCGGAATCCGAATCCCGACTGCACATCAACGCCCTGGAACTCCTGGCAGGCTCCTTCGCCATTCGCAGCTTCGCCAGGGACCGAGCCCTATCATGTATTCGGCTCCGCATGGACAATGTTTCGGCGGTGAGATATGTCAACCACCTGGGTGGTACACAGTCGGCAGTCCTGGCCAGATTGGCGAAAGACTTTTGGGAATTCTGCCTGGAACGGAACCTGATGGTCTACGCGGAATACCTACCTGGTCTGCACAATGTCCAAGCGGACTGGGGTTCACGTTATCTCTCAGATACCAGCGACTGGAGATTGGCCAAGGAGGTGTTCTCCAATATATCGTATCTCTGGGGACCGTTTACCATAGACCTTTTTGCTTCCCGGCTCCACGCCCAACTCCCACGCTTCTTCAGCTGGAGGCCAGATCCAATGGCGGAGGCAGTGGACGCCTTCCTACAAGACTGGAACGGAGGCCTCCTATATGCCTTTCCCCCGTTTTCCATGATCCCGCGCTCACTCCTACAGACCCGCAAACACCGGGCAGAAGTGGTCATGGTCACCCCATTTTGGGAAGCGCAGTCGTGGTTCCCCCAAATGCTCGAGATGACGTTAGACTATCCCCGACTACTACCGGGACACCACAACTTGCTGCAGGACCCAACGGGACGATATTACCCCCTCCGGTTAGAAGGCTCTCTCCCACTCCTGGCATGGCGGATCTCCGGGGACCCTGGGAAATCCAAGGAGTTTCGGACACGCCTATTGGCAGCAGCATGGGCTCCCAGCACTAGACGGGCATATGGGTCAGCTTGGCGAGCTTGGGCTGGCTGGTGCATGGCTAGGAAGGCGGATCCCGTTTCGGCCTCTGTAACAATGGTCCTGCAGTTCCTGACGTCCCTCTTCGAGGCTGAAAAGGCTTACAGGACTATCAACCTTTACTGATCTGCTATCTCAGCGATTCACCAAGGCTTCGATGGCTGCCCCGCGGGACAGCACCCCTTAGTGTGCCGACTCCTCAAGGGTTCTCGATTTTCACGACCACCCAGGCCCCGCTACTCCACGACCTGGGACGTCTCGTTCGTATTGGCTTTCCTCTCATCATGGCCCGCTAACTCAGGACTCTCCCTCAAACAGCTATCTGCCAAATTGGTTTGCCTGCTCTGCCTTGTCTCATGCAAGAGGGTTTCGGATGTCAGAGCACTGGACTTTGATGCCAAGTCATATACCCCGGACGGGGTAACTTTCAACATCAGCAGGCGGACTAAGACTTCCATCAAATCGGTATCCTACCCTAGTTTCCCTACCTCTCCTTCACTATGCCCAGTGGCCTGCCTTCGTGAATACGAGACTCGCACCAACCCACATCGCTCTACCGTCTCTCCTCAGTTGTTTTTATCTTTCCGTCCTCCTTTTCACCCGGTTTCTAGCACTACCTTGTCACGATGGGTGAACTGGCTGTTGTCCCAAGCAGGTATTGATACCACGATATTTGGCGCCCATTCGGTCCGGGGGGCATCAACTTCTTCTATGATGTCGGCAGGCGCACGCCTGGAGGACATTATGAGGACGGCTGACTCGTCTAGGGAGTCTACATTCCGAGAATTTTACTTTTGGCCGGCCCCACATACATTCGCTGCGGTAATGGATCAGCTTTAAACTTGCAATATGAGCCTCCGTGTCTTGTTATAAAATTACATGATTTTGCTATTACATGACGAAAAGTCATGATTTTATTAAAGACACGGAGGCGAGTATTGTCCCACCCTTTTTCGTTCTTACACAGTTGTAATAATAATAATTTTCCCTCCCAGAATTACTCATACTACAATACACCACATAGTATGGTTCAGTACGGTAAGTGGGGCCATACTTAGACAATGATGTTTCTGTAATGCTGGGTATATCAGTTGTTTTGTGGGACTGTGCATATGTGGGTTATTTTCTCACCCGTGTAACCTTGAAACTAGTTACAAGTATCGACTTTAACCTGTCGGCTCCTGTTCCTTTATGTTTTCACAGCTTAATCCGGCAAGACGGCAAGCAGTTGTTCGGCCTAGAAGGACTCCTCCTGTTATCCGATGGTCCTATGACTCCTATGGTCAAGCTTCCCAGTTATTGATGTTCTACCCTCTTCAGTTTTAAGTTATTGCCTTGGGACTTTGTTCTCATACTACTCTCGTTCTGGACATTTTACCTTGGTCGCATCTTCAGAAAGAGGGAAATGGAAGGGAACTGCTGCCTGTTATACTGGGACCTGAGCGGGGAGGGGCCTATGTTACTGCATGTTCATTATTTTTTCATTCTGTTTGTATTCTTTGCTGCTATTGGTGGACAGTAAAGAAAGGGATATGCAATACTCGCCTCCATGTCTTTAATAAAATCATGATTTTTCGTCATGTAATAGCAAAATCATGTAATTATGTTATATATTTGATTATTATGTTGCTTGTTCTTCACATTATGTACAGTTGCAAGAAAAAGTATGTGAACCCTTTGGAATGATATGGATTTCTGCACAAATTGGTCATAAAATGTGATCTGATCATCATCTAAGTCACAACAATAGACAATCATAGTCTGCTTAAACTAATAACACACAAAGAATGAAATGTTGCCATGTTTTTATTGAACACACCATGTAAACATTCACAGTGCAGGTGGAAAAAGTATGTGAACCCTTGGATTTAATAACTGGTTGAACCTCCTGTAGTTGCAGATCAGACGTGCACAACGGTCAGGAGTAATTCTTGACTATTCCTCTTTACAGAACTGTTTCAGTTCAGCAATATTCTTGGGATGTCTGGTGTGAATCGCTTTCTTGAGGTCATGCCACAGCATCTCAATCGGGTTGAGGTCAGTTGTTTGTTAAAGCAATCTGCAGAGAGTTCGACCATGCTTCCTGAAGCACCTCCCACAAGTTGGAATTGCTTCATACGTACCATACAGTCAACCTGCTCCCACAGAAGCTCAATAGGGTTGAGACCTGGTGACTGGGCTGGCCAGTCCTTTCAAGGCAGAATAACAACCGACTGCTTCTTTCATTAATAGTTATTCAATAGTTTGTTGTGTTTTAGGTCATTGTCCTGTTTTAGGAGGAAAATAGCTTGAATTAAGTGCCAACTACAGGATATGGCATGGAGTAGCAAAATAGAGTGATATCTTTAATCTTCTGCTTTACCACCACCAAAGCTCATCCAGACCATCACGCATCATCAACCATGTGTGGCATCAAGTACTCCTCCAGCAGCTTTTCATTTGGTCTGCGTTCACAAATGTTCTTCTTTGTGATCTGAACACCTCAAACTTCGATTTTTCGATTCATAACTCTTCCCCCCCCCCCCCAAATCTTCCTCTGTTCACCATCTGTGTTCCCATCTTACTCTTTTCTTTTTTTGGCCAGTCTGCGAAACAGCTTTTCTTTGCAACTCTGCCTGGAAGGTCACTATCCCAGTGTTGCCTCTTCACTGTTGATGTTGAGACTGGTGTTTTTGCAGGTACTATTTAATAAGGCTGCCAACTAAGAATCAGTGAGGAGTCTGTTCTCAAACTAGACACTAATGTATTTGTCCTCTTGCTCAGTTGTGCACCGGGCCTCCCACTCTCTCTGTTCTATTTAGATCCGGTTTTGTAGTGCACAGTGTTATACGAGATGTTCAGTATCTTGTCAATTCCTCACATGGACTAGCCTTAATTTCTCAGAATGCGAATAGGAGTTTCAGAAGAAAGTTATTTCTGACCATCTTGAGCCTGCAATCAAACCCACAATTACCAATGCTTCAGATACTCAACTAGTGTTATGGAGGCCAGTTGTATTGCTTCTTTCATACACACAACAGTTTTCAACTACACTAACATAATTTCAAAAGTGTTTTCCAATGCACAACTAGCCTTTTTAAATGATTCATTTGGATTAGCAAAGACAACGTGCCATTGGAACACAGGACAGATGGGTGCTAATAATGGACCTTTGTACGCCTATGTAGCTATTCCATTAAAAAATCTGCCTTTTCACGTTACACTTGTCATTTACAGCATTAACAATGTCTACACTGTATTTGTGATAGATTTAATGTTATTTTAATGGACAAAAAAAAATAATAATCTGCTTTTCTTTTGAAAATGATGAATTTTCTAACGTGTATGTATGTGTGTGATATATATATATCTTAGAGAACAAATTCTATCTTTAACAGAGTGCCATTCACCACTTTTCATACCTTTGGCAAATATTTTTCCTTTTCATCCCCAATGTACTGTAAATAATACAAACTATATCATAGTTATATAACTGAGTAGATGATTTCCAAGTTTCCACATGGTTCCAGCTTGTACATGGAGCTTGTGTGACGTGTAAACTGTAATACGACTTGCATCCTAATGTGTTGTTTTTGTGTGTGTTTTTTTTTTCTTTTTCCCTTTCAGAACAGTAAGACTTTCTTTTCCTCTACAGAAATTAAAAACAGATGCTGGAACTCGCTGTTCCACGTTAATGAAAACTTGACAGAAAGTTGGTTTGGATCAATTTCTTTCTAAATCAAAAACAATTCCTAAATTGCAAAGATCTGTAAAAAATGGCAATTTCTGCAACAGTCCCCATCATTTTAGTTCAAGTTTCATCAGTTATATATTAGGTACCCAATGGCAACCTATACAGTTTGATCTCCTTACATTGTGTGTAGGGTACTATACACCCCTTCGTTTTTAAAATTTTACACTCATTTATGGTAGCAAACAATCTACAGTAAACATCTTCTAATTATATAAAGATTTATGTTGATAAACTAACTGCACAGCTGGAGTCTATGTAGTAGCCAATAGGGTTTACATCACTGTTTGCTTTGGTCTCAAGCCCCAGATACTTTTGAAACCTAGCAACTGCTTTAAGAGACACCAAGTAGCTTATTCACTAAATGTTAGATTGAAGCAAATTGAAAACAAAATTGCAAAATGTAGCCATGTAGCCAATAGCTTGTTTACAAAAAATCTCTCACTCATCTATGGTTGCAACATGTTTATTTTATAAAAAAAATTAAGTAAGACATTTTATTATTATTATTTTTTTAAATTTTTATAAAAAGCCAGAGTTAGTTGAATTGTTCCTTATAAGACGCATATACGCATATATGAGCGGCAGTGGATGCGCTGTGTCAAAGTGCAGGATGGTATTACGATCCGTTGGCTTGCTAAAAAGACTGTAAGAAATCCTGCGGTTCTTCACTTGTATTTCCAAATCCATGAACTGTACGGTCTCCGTACTGATGTTGGCTGTGAACCTCACTATAGTTGGAAGTGTGTTGTTTAGTTGTTCTACCATGGTTTGTGCCTCTTTGATACTCAATGAATCTGTAATATCCACAGATGTGTTTGTTATAGCATGAAATGATGTGTTGCATTTCGTAGATGTACATCAACACATTTGCGTACATGGTGTCAGGGATCCGCGGGCGGCTAGGAGGGGACGCTGCACGCCACTTGCAGCACTCACCCTCAGTCCATCGCCACCCGTGGTCTCCCCTCCGCTTACCTGTCGGCGAGCGGCGTCTCCTCTCTGCCGCTCGCCGCTCGCGTCCTCCACGCCCCCCAGCGGCAGCATGTATAACGCTGCACGCTGGGAGGTCACTAAATTATGTAAACGCCGGGGTCACGTGAGTGACCCGGCGTTAAAGGAACAGTACCACAATCACAGTGGGAGGTATAGATATCCCCCACGTGTGATTGTTAATTCTGATTGGAAGTTATCCAATCAGAATTAAACCAAGGGTATTTATACTTACCTTTCCTGTCCCTCAGTGCCCTGTTGTGGTCTTGTGATACCTGTAGCGTAGTGTTCTCGTCTTGCTCTCTGGTTACTGATTATTTGGCTTGTTATTCCGATTATCCTGTCTTCACTCCTTTGACCTCGGCTTGTTTCTCGTTCTCCCGTTTTCTGGCTCCCTTTACTTGGCTTGTCTCCTGACTATTCTTAGCGTGCTTAGCCCGGCCACTCTAAGGACCGGTATAGCATCTTTCCTCTCTGTGTCCTGTTAGCGTGTTAGGTTCCGGAATCGTGACACATGGGGGCCGTGGCAATATATATATATATATATATATATAGTGAAAAAAAGGCACTCCAGAGTCCTATTTTGATGCCTGGTGCTGATCCGCAAAAAGCTCTAACTGGACTGATGATATACTATCTGGATTTTTTTCAGCCTCTCCCGCTTCTCTACCTTTCTAAACCATCCTCACAACATAATGCAACATTATGTCAATTTAACATACTGCTCCCAGCACGTGTCTTTTGACGAACATATAATATAGTTGCCATTTGTATTAATATGCTCTTGCTATGGCGAGTAGCTGGAACACAAGCTACCATATCGGTGTATACTTATTCACGTAAACATAATTTACTTCTAAAAAAAATGGTATACACCCATACCATTCTATAAATCACCACGCGGGAAGCTATTTGGGAATACTACATTTATAAAGGTTTTTGGTATTACAAATTAATTTGATTAATAAATGCTGCTTGGTTTTGGTGCAAGGTGTATTTGGGTCTACTTCTTCCAGAGGGTCGACATCCAAAGACACCTAACACTATAATCACTACAGAAAGCTGTAAAACCAATGGTGCTTTTAGTGTATTTTTTTAATTGTATAAATTCATTTGTTGGAAGAGGCAGGAGCAATTTGACTTTCCCGTTGCAATTTTTTAGTGCAGCATATGGCACATTTTAAACAAAATCAACACCAAAAAAAGGAACATACACTTCATAAACATATTGCATCTGAAAACACAAAGGCCTGTAGACACATGATGAATTACATAATAAACAATGAGTGCCCTCTGCTTGTTACTATATGATATCTGTATAGTGGTGGTTAGCGGGCACTAAGTACCATAACAACATACAGTATGCTCACTGCATAGGTTATGGTGCAAGGAGTTCCCCTGTCATTGTGTTACTGAATACAGCTAGTTATAATTGCATGAATTTGGAAAAATAACTGTAGCTTATACACTGTCCCTTAAAGCAGATCTGTCAATTTAGGGGGTCTTTGCATATTTCCCAGGGTGCAGGGGAGACGAGGTTTACTTACCTAAGGCATTCCCACGCAGCCACCACCATCTTCATAATGCTGCCATTTTTGGCTCCTGGCAATTTAGCTGCTAGAAGCCCCGTCAGTGCTGCACTCTTGCGCATGCGGCCTATGGAGGATCCCATCATGTAGCCATAATTTGTGAATGGCTACTGGGACTACACAAACATTGATGGGGAAGCTCTGCCTTTTGTCCACCTCAAGCTTTACCATTAGACAAAGGATTCCCTACTTTGTCTTATGGTATCTTTGGATTGAGCTGGAATTTCAACAACCAAGTCTTGTTAAGTATTTAATATAGATTCATAATGTGATAGATCCACATTAAGTGACCTGATATCAATAAAGCCATTTTTTTTTTCTTTTAAATTCTTTATTTTTTCTGTGCATGAAAATTACAGGCATGTGTAATGTGCCACAATAGCACGCATTTATTATCCATTGAAATTCACATTTTGGCACTAAAGAACTGCACATTTTTTGTTATCATTTTGGTACAAGCTATTTTGTAAGCATATATTGAAACAAGGACTCGATAGATCCATGTTAGTAAGTGTTGATGAAACAACAGGTTAAATTCCACTTGTGAGTGATATACATATAACATATAACATATAACATAAAAGCCGTAAAGCAACTGTTGTCTAGGGTAAGGCATTTAGCTCCTATGAGTGAGGTTCACTCAGCGATGTGGAGGGATTAATGCAGGGATTATCAGACAAGCCATAAAAGTAACAAGAAAGATATCAATATGCTCCGCGATTCAGCTCGGGTAGGGCGCCAAGACCACAGGATGCCATCAGGATTGCAAGGGTGGTCAATTGAGTAGGCAAAGTAGCGCAAACAATCCAGGCAAGGGTTGGTACAAATCAGTCAGTGAATTAACAGCATGGCAGTAACTGTAATGCTCAGGTAGTACATGTAGTACTTTATTGGAATTTCAACCTATCTCCTGACTTTGCACCTGACCTCTTTGGTGTGTGAAAGTTTTAATGATTTTTAAAGAGGTAGCAAATTTCTCGAGAAACTACTACATCCATTAGTGGTCAATTTAAAGTCCTATCTCCAAGACACAAAACAGACATTGATACTATTGGAAAACTTGATGGTACCTCCATATTGCCTATTAGGTAGTTTGGATGTTGTTGCTCTTTACAATAACATTCCACACACCATAGGCATACAAGCTACCTCTTATTTTCTGAATAAGTCATCTGAGTTTACATCTGCACAGAGTAATTTTATCATCAAGTTACTAGAATATATCCTCACTCATAATTTTTTTGTATTCAATGGTCAATACTACCTACAGTTAAAGGGCACAGCTATGGGCACGGCTTGTGCCCCTAGCTATGCCAACCTCTATTTAGGTTGGTGGGA